AAGATGTACATTGGTTCCATCTGGAAGGGTGGGACAACTTGAGGTGGGAGTTGGGGCTTCCAGGTCATGGGTAGATTTAAACATATTCTGATTAGCAATTGGATGAAAAAGTTATTTCAGTAGAAAGGAATGTGTGGGTTAAGATAAGGGGTTGTAGAGACCAGGGTTCTTATTACACAGATGAGACCTCCAGGTAGCAGGCTTCAGAAAAAATAGACTGTAAATGTTTCTTATCAGACTTAAGGTCTGTGTTGATGTTGATGCTGGAGGGGTATAATGAGGCACATCCAACCCCTGCTTCCTGTCATGGCCTGAACCAGTCTTTCAGGTTAAATTTTGGGGTGCCCTGGCAGAGGAGGAAGTTCATTCAGATGGTTGCAGGGGGAGGGGTCCGTCAAATTTTATTTTTTGTTTATACCTTCTAAATACTTGAAAATACTAATATACTTATCCTTTGCTATACATGGGGGATTGGTTCCTGGACTCCTGGGTATGCTAAAAATCCACGCACACTCAAGTCCAGAACTCAGCCCACAGAACTCACATGTAGAAAAAGTCGACCCCTCTCTATTATTATGGTTTTGCATTCAGTGAATACCATATTTTCCATTTGTGTTTGGTTGAAAAACTCCATGTGTAGATGGGGCCACACAGTTCAAACCCTGTTCAAGGGTCAACTGTACTATTACTAGGTTTCCTGTTGGTCTCCTATATATTGTCAAACACTAAGCTTGAGGGTTGGTTTTTCCCACTCACTGTAGGCAGTTTTAGGCAGTTCCATTTGACTCCCCACTGTATTAGTGATCTCCAGAGAACAGAACAAACAGGTGATGTGTCTCTATATCAATCTATCTACCTAAGTACCTTCATATAGAGAGATTCATGGTAAGGGATTGGCTTCAGTAATTATAGAGTCAGAGAGGTACCATAGTCTGCTTTCTGCAAGCTGGAGACCCAGAAAAGCAAGTGCTGTAATTCATTCTAATCTTAACACCTGAGAACCAGGGGACGCAATGGGGTAAATCCCAGTCCGAGGGCAAGAGAAGGCCAATGCCCCAACACAAGTAGGCAGGCAGGGCACATCCTCCCTTCTTCCTCTGTTTGGTCTATTCTGGCCCTTGATGGGTTGAAGGAGGCCCACACACATTGGGGAGGGGAATTGCATTACTGAGTCCACCAATTAATGATCCCAGTCTGCTCCAGAAACTCCCTCACAGACACACCCGAGAGAATGTTCAATCTGGGCACCCCAAGGCCCACTCAAGTAGACACGTGGAGTCACCCTCACACTCCCTTAGTGAGAGGAGAAACACGTGCTTTGTGCATCCTGCCATTCGTTCCACTAGTATTCTACCTTCCTTTTTCCTTTATCCACCTGCCGTGGGATTCTTTCTTTACAATTTTGAGTTTTCTATATTGCACTCCATATAGATTGATTTTAAATACAGAGCAACCCCAAAGAATATTTACATGCTTATAATTTCACCACTAGCATTCCCTGCAGAATGAAAGATGTGACTGAACCAGGTCCTAGGGAAGAACCTGGCATTCTGAGTCACTGACTTGCTGCCCTTTAAGGAGAACGCTCCCTGTGCCAAAGACAAGCGGACTCTGCTCTTATCATTTATCAGTTCCCCCAAATCATGCCACCTCTTAGTTTGCTTTGCTGTTGGGCCACAGCTTTGCTGTTTTCGTGAGACTTCTAGTGCATTTTCCTTAGCCCTCACCTCCACTGTAACACTGAGGTTTTCTGTCCTGTTAGTTTGATGCTGTTCATGGCTTGTAGCCCATTTCTTCTTGAAGATGTGCTTCTTGGAGCTGACTGCCTTCCTGCTCTATTCAGACAGCAGGGCGGGACCCTGAGGCCTGTTATCCTCCTATTTGCATCCCCACTTCCTCTTCTGCTTAGAGGCCCTGTTCTCTACATCTACATCTTGCCCTTCCTAGATGACACCATCATTTTGATGGGGCACATCTCTCACTGGCCTCCAACAAGGTCCACGGTCCAAGTAGGACTCCAGGTTGGCTGTGCGGAAGGCATGGCTTCCCTCTCTGACAGTGCCACTGTTGAGAGGCCATGGCCATTCTGATTCTCAGACCTGTTTTTCTCTGGAACTTTTGAAATCTTCTCTTCATCTCTGATGTACTAAAGTTTCACGATATACCTTGGTGTGGGTGTTTTTAATCATTATTTCCTTTCTCTAAGGAAACTTTATAGACTACTTTAATAATTTTCTTTTTTCTGATTGTTTTTCTTTCTATACCTCCTGATATTCAGATGTTGGTCTTTGTGAATTGATGTTTTAATTTTCTTAACTTTTTTTCTTAGCTGCTATCCATCTTTTGTTTTGTTTTGTTTTGGACGGGGTCTCACTCTGTTGCCCAGGCTGGAGTAGTGGTGCAATCACAACTCACAGCAGCCTCGAGCTCTCAGGCTCAAGCAATCCTCCCACCTCAGCCTCCCAAGTAGCTGGGACTAGAGATGGGTGCCATCTTACCCAGTTAGTTTTTAAGTTTTTGTAGAGATGGGGTCTTGCTATGTTGCCCAGGCTGGTATTGAACTCCTGGACTCAACCGATCCTCTTGCCTTAGCTTGCCAAAGTGTTGGGAGTGAGCCACAGCACCTGGCCTTTTTGGTCATCTTCTACTTTTAGAAGCTGACCACTTTCTCTGCTAATTCCATAACCTTTTTTATTTCTGCAATATAAATCTCAGTTTCCAAGAGCTCCTTTTTATTTTAAAAAGGTTACTTTTTGGTAGTATGCTGTTTTTATTTCATGGGAACAATGTTACCTGTTCTCACTGAGGATCTTAATTTTAATTTGGGGGGAAATGTTGAAGTCTCTTCCATTTCCTCTGCTTCCTTTGAGTTCCTTCTCCTGGGTGGGTTGATGTGTTCATTTCTTGCTTCTGGCAGTGAGGCTTCCCCCATGGTGATCCTGGCTACACACTGAGCAGCCTCCTGCAGCCCCCGCCAGCTCAGCCTCCATGTTCACCATGACAGGCTACAGCACAGGGGTGGGCGTTTCTGTCTCTTGTGTTGCTGTGTCATCATTACTACACATGTATGTACCTTGAGGCATTTCCCTGCCTCATTTTAAAGACTTTAATGTTACGAAATGGTTAATATGCCCAGCTCAAGGATTTCTTGGGAACCAAAGGGTTTCAAATTAGCACACAATCTTTTTTTTTTTTCCCCTGAGGCGTAGTTTCACTCTTATTGCGTAGGCTGGAGTGCAATGGCACAATCTTGGCTCACTGCAACCTCTACCTCCTGGGTTCAAGTGATTTTCCTGCCTCAGCCTCCTGAGTAGCTGGAATTACAGGCACATGCTGCCACGCCTGGCTAATTTTTTTTGTATTTTTTAGTAGAGACAGCATTATCACTATATTGGCCAGGCTGGTCTTGAACTCCTGACCTCGTGATCTGCCCTCCTTGGCCTCCCAAAGTGTTCGGATTATAGGTGTGAGCCACCTCGTCCGGCTTAGCAAACAATCTTCCAGAAAGACAGCACAGCCTTGGAAATAGGTGTTTTCTCTATTTCAGAATCCTTTTTTCACGCCCTTTTATAGGCGTTTCTTTTTTCCTTCCTATTCTGTGTTTAAACCTCTTCTGACCTATAGCAAATCTCACTGTTTTGACATTGTCGTCTCTGACTGTGTATGGCTTCTTCTAATTATTGCTCATCAAATCTATTTCTCAGGGTTATGTCAAAATCAGATGGTTATTTTTTCCATCTGTTGCCACAATCTGTTCAAACCATCACACTCGGTGAACCTGCGGGAAATTGTATCAGCCAAAAGAGAAACCAATGTGCTTCAGCCAGACTTAATATGGGCAGGGTTTTGGGGTGGAATACTATATTTGAAATCTTCTTAGATAATGTCAAGTTCAGAAAAATTGCTATTTTCTCCGGTGCCAGCAGTGGGTAACACAAAAGCAATGGTGAGGCACAGCAGGAAACCCTCACAATATTCTTGCCCCATAATGTAACAATATTTAGTACAGAAGCTCCCCAGACTCAACCTGTTCCTCTTCAACTACAAATACTCTCAGCTCAGAGGGAAATTGAAGTCCCTATATTTCATTTCAAAGGCTCTAAGTGAATTGGAAGGAAAAAGTCCTGTTCTTGAATGCATTTCAGGTGGACAGAGTAGACTCGTTCCATGCTAAGCTGCTCCTGCTAAGCAAAAAGCTGTGGTTCCTTCTTCATTAAGTAAAGTGGTTTGCAAAGCACTGTAGCCATGTGCTAATGGCATTAGGGCTGAGGGGCCATTGGCAGCTCAAGGTCGGAGAGAGAAGTGGAGCCCAAGAGAAAGGGGACCTTGACAAAGCCTACTGGTATTTTTAAAATTAGGGATGCAGTGGGGTGTCTCTGTTTACTGCAGCAGATACAGAATGCAGCAAAAGATTGTGCTGGAAAAAACCCCGTGGAGACAGAAAGAGAGCAGCTATCAGTTAAAATATGTTTTCCAGGAGAGACAAAGGGTGGGCCTCCGCTGTGGGACTGCCTGCTGGCCCCACTCCAGGACACCCCCATATTGAGGTCAGTTTTCCTGCCGCTCGCCCCCACAACCTGACTTCAGTCCTAAGGCAGAGAGGATCCCCGTGATGCTACCACATGTGGTGCTGGTCCCCTTTGTCAGTGCCAACTTGAAGTAATTTATTGCTTTGCCTTTCAGAGCAGAAAATTGATTCATTGGTGGTTTGTAAAAAGCATGCTTTTTTTGTGAACTTACTCATATGTTTTACGCTTTTATTTTTCTTGTGCAATTATCGAGTCTTGCTTTCATTAAATTGTGTGAAACGGCAGCTAGCCCACGTTAGAATCATGTCTCTTGGTTCTCTCTGCCCCTCCCCCTTGGATATCCAAAGGCATCTGCTGTTCCTAAAAGGCTGAATGAATGACAGACCGTAATGAAGGGCCGTGGCTGCCCTGTAAATAGCCCACTGCTTGTGCTGCTTGTGAACTACTCTTTCTTTTTGTTTTTGTTTTTAGAGACAGGATCTCCCTCTGTCACCCAGACTGGAGTGGAATGGCGTGATCGTGGCTCATTACAGCCTCCAACTTCTGGGCTCAAGTGATCCTCCCACCTCAGCCTCCAGGGTCGCTGGGACTACAGGCACATGGCACTATGCCCGGCTAATTTTTTAATTTTTCATAGTGGTGAGTTCTTGCTATGTTGACCAGGCTGATCTTGAACTTCTGGGTTCAAACGATCCTTCCACCTTGGCTTCCCAAAGGACTGGGATTATAGGTGTGAGCCACTGCACCAGGGTGGTGACTTACTCTTTCTAATATCATAATAAAAAATCCTTGATCTGGAAAAACATTTCCTCTTCATCCTCAGTGCTGACTGGGGCTGAGAAACCTTGGCGGGAGGCTTCCGGGGAAACTTCTGCCCAGTTGGCTCACTGCCAGTGGGCCCGTGGAATAGCATTTGGTCTCAATGACAGAACTGGCTTTGGAGTTGCAAATTTTGGGGGCGCAAGGAAGGCCTCATCCCTGCCACGGTGCCTGCCACTCCACAGTGAAAACTTGTAATTTCTTTAGGGCTCTGGTCTTCAGTAGTGCTGGTACCTCAAAGAGTATCTGAGCTTGAATCCTACTATGGCTGTCTTTGGATGTAGGTGTTGGCCAAATGAGAGAAAAAGGAGGTTTGGGAACACAGTAGGGCTGATGGGTGTTCTAGGATACCAGGGGTGGGGGATGGCTGGACAGAGGGAGGTGAGCACCTAGTCTCTTGGTTTCTGGCTTGTGTCTCACCAGCTAATGAGGAAGGAGCAGGAGAGCAGGGGCTCTGGGTGGCCTGGCCTGGGGCTCCCACTCAACTCTGGGTCTTCATCTCCACCCTCATCCCAACCCTTGGGCTGCTCTCGGCTTCTCTGGACCAAATGCCCTAAGAGGCTTTGACACTTTCAGGGATGAAAGAATGGGATGAAGAGAGGAGAATGAGGCTGTGGTAGTGGGAGAAGTCACCTTGAGAAGGGCCAGGGAGTAAGCCCAGAGCTGACGGCGTGGGTGGGCATGGTCCCTCACCTAGAACTGTCTTCCCCACAGGAACCCTGAGCACTGGAAGAAAGCCCAGTCAGTGAGGCCAAGTCTTGGTTAAGGAATAGTGTCCTTGGAGGTCCACTAGATGCATACGTGTTATCTGAGATATATTTTCCTTTCTATTTTTTTTAAATTTTAATTTGTTATTTTTTAAAGTTTTAGTTTAAATTGACTTGTTTCTTTCCAATTTTTATTTTAGGTTCAGGGGGTACATGCATGGGTTTGTTACATGGGTAAATTACGTGTCATGAGGGTTTGGTGTACAGATTATCTTGTCACCCAGATAATAAGCATGGTAGCAGGTAGGTAGCTTTTCAGTCCTCACCCTCCTTCTACCCTCCACCTTCAAATAGGCCCCAGTGTCTATTGTTTCCTTCTTTTTGTTTTTTTTTTTTTTTCTGAGACGGAGTTTCGCTCTTGTTACCCAGGCTGGACTGCAATGGCACAATCTCGGTTCACCACAACCGCCGCCTCCTGGGTTCAGGCAAATCTTCTGCCTCAGCCTCCTGAGTAGCTGGGACTACAGGCACGCGCCACCATGCCCAGCTAATTTTTTTTTTGCATTTTTAGTAGAGACGGGGTTTCACCATGTTGACCAGGATGGTCTCGATCTCTTGACCTCGTGATCCACCCACCTCGGCCTCCCAAAGTGCTGGGATTACAGGCTTGAGCCACTGCACCAGGCCTATTGTTCCCTTCTTTGTGTCTATGTGTACTCAATGGTTAGTTTCCACTTATTTATTCATTTATCGAGGCAGGGTCTGGCTCTGTTGCCCAGGATGAAGTGCAGTGGCATAATCTTGACTCTGCAACCTCCACCTTGCGGGTTCAAGCCATCCTCCCACTGCAGCCTCCCGAGTATCTAGAACTACAGGAGCAGGCTGTCAAGCCTGGCTCATTTTTTAATTTTTCGTGAAGACAGCATTTTTTCATGTTGTCCAGGCTGGTCTTGAACTTGTGAGCTCAAGCGATCTGCCTACCTTGGCCTATCAAGATACTCGGATGACAGCTGTGAGCTGATGCGCCTGCCCCCGCTTATAAGCAAGAACATGTGGTATTTGATTTTCTGTTTCTGTGTTAATTTGCTTGGGATGATGGCCTCCAGTTCTATCCAGGTTGCTATGATCTCATTTTGTTTACAGCTGTGTAGTATGATGTATATATACCACATTTGCTTTATTGAATCCACCACTGATGAGCATTCAGGTTGATTCCATGCCTTTGTTATTGTGAATAGTGCTGCAATGAACATAGACGCGCATGTGTCTTCATGGTAGAACGATTTATGGTCCTTTGAATATATACTCAGTAATGGATTTGCTGGGTCAAGTGATAATTCTATTGCAGATTCTTTGAGAACGCTCCAGACTGCTTTCCACAGTGGCCAGACTAATTTACAATCCTAATAGCAGTGTGTAAGCCTTTCCTTTTCTCCACAACCTCGCTAGTATCTGTTATTTCTGACTTTTTAATAATAACCATTCTGACTGGTGTGAGATGGTATCTCATTGTGGTTTTTGATTTGCATTTTCTTAATGATTAGTGATATTGAGCATCTTTTCATATTCTTGGGGGCCACATGTACGTCTTTAAGCCTTTTTCAGCCAGTCTTTTTTTTTTTCTACAAACAAAAGCGTATGTGTGTTCTAACATCTAAAATAAGCAAAGTAGACCGTCTCCATGAACAGAAGGTTGGGGGCCTGAAGGTTGTCTCTTTGTCCTGGGCAGGAACAGCAGCCTACGCACCTCACAGGTGGTCCCAGTGCACTTGATACCCCAGGGGCGGCTGCAGACAAATAAATCACCATGTTAACAGACTGTGCTCAAGGTGCTGAAGCTTTCCTGCTGTCCATTAAGGGCCTTTAGCCTCCATGCCTGTGGTCAGGTGCCTGGGAAGGAAGCCTGAAGAGGGGCAGGGAGGGTTGGGGAGGTCAAGGACTGGCTCCATGCCACCTCCCACAGGCTTGGAGGAAGGAAAGATGGATGTATCCTGGATCCTCTGCCTCCTGGCTACTAGCCCTTGGAATACTGCATTTTTGCCATAGACAGCAGAAAATGCTACCTGTTTCTGACAAGCACATAGTTAATCTTTGCATATCTGCTGCTAGACCTTTGGAAAATGAGTGTGACTCTCAGCTTGAGAAGACTTCAAGAAAGCCTGGTGACCCCTGCCAGGAGGGTGACAGGTGAGGCCTTAGCAAATCTGTCCCTAGCACAAGGCACACAGCCACTCTCTCACCCCTGATTGTCCATACATGAGGGCAGGCCTGGAACTGAGAGACGGCACAGCCCAGCACCTGAGTGAGACCTCTCACAGAGAAATCACTTCCTTTTTGTGCTTTTTGAGTCTTGGTAAATCTTAACCCAAATCCTTTCTGGGGAGCGGGAAGGAAGGAGTCCCCACATTGTCAGATGCACAGAAATAACTGAAAGCCCTTGGTGTTAAATCCAGCCTTGAGTCTGGTTTTAGAAGGAATTGGCCTTCTTGGAAACTATAGCCTCAGGGATTCAGAGAAACTAGGTCAGAACAGGAACTTGGGCAGGTAGTGAGTTTTGTTCCCTTCACCAGACCTGGGAGGGCTCAACTGTGTGGTCTGCAGCTGGTCAAGAAGCAAAATCTAGAAGCCCCTGCCCTCCTAGACTGAAATCTTTACTTCTCACTAGCAAATGTTCCAGTCCTCACGCAGCCAGGGCATGTCCCAGGAAGCCCCCAGGGTGGCATGAGAAGCAAAAGGAGGTTTTCAGACTACTTTAACCAAGAGTACCCAGCCAACCAAGAGTACAACCAAATGGTGCCTGTGACTAAGGCCAGGTGGTAAAATGCTGGCAGCTCCCTCCTGCTGGGCTTGCTAAAACCCTTTTGGTTTTGGATTCTTGAGGATCTGAACAACCAAATAAGAAACCTGAGCCTTCTCAGGCCACCATGCTGTGGGAAGCCCAGGCTACAACAAGAGGCTACACGGAGAGATTCCATTCAACACCCCCGGGCTACCAGCTGGCAGCCAGCATCAGTGTCCAGCCAGGTTGGTGAGTCACCTGGATGGCTGGCTCAGTCAACCTTCCGATGACTCCAGCCCTGCTGATATCTGCCTGTCACCACATGAGAGACCCCATACAGCAATTCACACACCTGAGTCCTCCCCACGTTCCTGACCCTACAGTTGTGAAACGTCATATGATACAATGGTGTTGTCTTAAGCTACTAGCTTGGGGTAATTTGCAAAGCATGCATAAGGCTGTGCACATGCTCACAGGTGTGTGCAGGCTCAGGAAAGACCTAAGAAGGCCCTGAGCTGTCACCTCTGGCTGACCTTGAGGCCCTGTGCCAGCAGGAAGTGAAAGTCAAAGCAGAGTTGGCAATTAACTGGCTGGCAGAGTGTTGAAGGCATGCCAGACACACATACACAGAGCCCTGTGGCAAAGACCAGGGGACATACTGGATTTGGGCTGCATTAGTTAGGATTTTCCAGAGAAACAGAACCAATAGGATGGATGGATAGATGAATAGATAGATAGATAGATAGATAGATAGATAGATAGATAGATAGATGTAGATAATTATTATGATGGATTGGTTCACCCGATTATGGAGGCTAAAAAGTTCCATAATCTATTGTCTGCGAGCTGGAGAGCCAGTCAGTGGTGTGCTTGCACAGCATCATTCAGTCCAAACCCAAAGGCCTGAGAACCCAGGGAGCTGGTGCTGTTAGTCCTCCAAGCCCATAGTTTTAAGAACCGGGGACCGGGTGCGGTGGCTCAAGCCTGTAATCCCAGCTCTTTGGGAGGCCGAGGCGGGTGGATCACGAGGTCAAGAGATCAAGACCATCCTGGCCAACATGGTGAAACCCCGTCTCTAGTAAAAATACAAAAAAAATTAGCTGGGCATGGTGGTGTGCACCTGTGGTTCCAGCTACCCAGGAGGCTGAGGCAGGAGAATTGCTTGAACCTGGGAAGCAGAGGTTGCAGTGAGCCGAGATCACAGCCTGGTGCCTGGCAACAGAGCAAGACCCTGTCCCAAAAAAAAAAAAAGAACCGGGAGTGCTGATGTTCAAAGGCAGGAAAAGATGGATGTCTTAGCTCATGCAGAGGGAGCAAATTTACCCTTCCTCACTTTTTTATTCTATCTGGACAAAATTCACCGTCAGTGGATTAGATGGTGCCCACACACACTGATGAGGGCTTGTCTTAGTCTGTTTTGTGCTGCTATACAACAGACTACCTGCAACTAAGCAATTTATAAAGAACAGACATTTGTTTTCTACAGTTCTGGAGACTGGGAAGTTCAGGGCCAAGGGGCCCACCTCTGGTGAGGCTCTTCCTGTTGTGTCATCCCATGCCAGAGCTCAGAATGGCAAGAGCAGCCAAGAAAGAGAGGGGAGGGGGCTACACTCATCCTTTTATCAGGACTTCCTCCCATGGTAACCACATTAATCCATCCCTGAGAACAGAGTCCTCATGGCCTAATCACCCTGTAAAGGTCCCACCTCTCAACACTGTTGCCCTGGGCTTAAACGTCCTACATATACTTTTGGGGGACACATTTAAACCACAGCAGGACTGAACTTCTTTACTCAGTCTACTAATTCAAATGCAAATTTTTCCTGGAAATGTCCTCAGAGACACACCCAGAAACAGTGTTTTACCAGCTTTTTGGGCTAGTTTTACCAACTAGCCTGGTCAAGCTGTTACAGAAAACCATCATACAGGCATTTAAGGAAATAAATCTCTGTTCAATTGTTCACTGATCATTGTGCTAACTGAGCAGAAACTTCAGTGGCCGCACATGACTAAGAGTGCAGGCTTCACATACTTAACTCGGAAAGATCTCTGAACAAATAACAACCACCACAAACCCTGGGGAGCCGGAGAATCTGATTTCCAAAGTTGCCACATTTTATTGTTTAAAATGCCAGTTTTCGGCAAAAAAGTTAAGAAATATGCAAAGAAGAAAGGATGACCGTTGTCAGACACAGGAAAAAAGAAGAAAAGCAGACAGTAGAAACTGTTCCTGAGGAAGCCCAGGTATTGGCCAAACTTACTAGACA